CTAAAATAAATATCAAAAATCAATAAAAAATTATTAAACTGTTTAATAAGATTTATTAAAAAAAAATTATTTTAATATCATGCGACATTAAACGTTTTATACTTATGTTTATAACACAAAAATTTTTTTTGTTTTCGGGAGAAAATCTTGTGATCCTGCAAGATTCGAGATTTTCTTAAGAGTTTTAAAAATTAAACTTTAATCACACTTCGGTTATATAAAGCTCTTTAAAAAATTCCTCAAACACTTAAAACATTTTTTACAATGAAGGAGTCAAAAATTGAAAAATGGCCTCCATTCAAAAATACGTTCAACATCGCATTTCTAAGACATATCACATGTTCTGCAACTTATATTTTATTATCATTTTTTTCAACGTCGGATGATTTTTCAGGTGACGAGGGCGAAGTCAAATTTTTTATTTGAGTCGATGATTCAATACTTAAAGTTCCTTCATCTTTATGCTCGATGATTGGTTCTAATTCGTGCATCAGGGATCTTCTTCCTAAATCTATATCATCGGAACATGGTGAAACATGAGCATGAGATACAGCTGGCACGGGTATTGCGGCACTTGGCATCGTGGGATCTGGAGTTATGAGTCCAAGTTCTTCTTTTTCTGACGAAGAACTCGATTCGTCAACAAGATTACAACTATATATTATCATTGGTTCTAATTTGGAATCGTTCACTTTGATATTTGATTCGTCGCTGTTGTCAACTTTGGATAATGAGTCTTTCGTAGACGGCGGCAAACCTTTTATTATTTTTTCAATTTCGTTATTTTTAATATCTTTGTCAACGTAAGAAACAAAATTGGCCGTTATTGTAGCTGGTTGTAAGGGAGTTATCGCATTAACCGGAAGTGATGATGGTAATAATGCAGTCATCGGTTTACCACTATCAAAAACGGAAGATTCGGAATTTATCGATGTCCCTGGATCATTTAAAAAATTAAAATTTTTAACTTCGGACAATATTTTAACGGATTCCATTTCCGATGAATCTGCAGGTGGCACTATCGTTTTTAAATTCGTACATAAATCCGAAG